TCTAGTGCAGCGCTCTACCAATTGAGCTAAGAAGCCAACTGGGAGCAGGCCGTTAAGTTGATTCGTAATAAACCCGTGATGATAAATCAGATGCAATGAATATATGAAGTTCATATATTTTGAACTGCGGTATTGAATACGTCTCCAAGCAAGTTAACTATACTAGGCACAGGGCTTCTAAATTGTATAGTTTGTTTTTGTACAAGTTAAGTTTGTACATTTTAAACATAGATTTCATTTAATAATTCTTAAATAGATTTTGTTATAAAATATAATTTTTTAGTGATCACCGATTGATACCAGTCAATCTCTGTTGATTGACTGACCGGTTTTTAATCAGGATAAATAAAGATAAGGGGACTATTACTAAAAGAGCTCTCTGAGAAAGTAAATCTCGCTGAGAGACAGTTATTTCGTTGTAAGGATTCCCCCGCATTTTGTAACCTGGTATGTTGCTTAGATATATTGCTTTGGTTCACGTGGTGTATCGTGTGATTGTTTATTGTCTCTATTTGCTCTGTTCAAACGATAAGGTCCTTTCTTTTTTACCTTTTTCTTGTGTTCACTCTTCAAAGGTTGCAGACCAACAGGCCGCAGTGTTTGGACAGTGTTGTTTTGACGCAGGGGATGTGAATTGTACAATGGGAACTGGATCTTTTCTAGATATAAATACAGGCTCATATCCACATGCGTCTGTAGCAGGTACAAAATGAGCATGTATTCTGTTCTAGTTCTGTCAGAGAAAGAGAGACTTTTGGAGAGAACATTGATTAAAGAACGTAAAAACCACAACCTCTACCATGGCATGTCAGTTAGACCCAGATTTAACATCACGAATAACAAGTGAGAACCCCAGTACAGAAGATTGGGAAAACTTGGAAAACCAAGCGTCCATGGGTTTTGGTTTGGTACATGACAGTTTGTAGGGGTAATGCGAAGTTTTTTTTTTTTCCATATTAATCACAGAACTATGAGGGTAAAAATGAAAAAAAAAAAAATGACAAAATGAAAAAAAAATGAGCTGAAGTTGAGCTGTGGTGCCATATGAGACAGTAAGCTCATGCAGCCATTTTTGAAATTCTAACTATTGAGTAGAAATTCATTTTTTAATCGAAGTCTTCCTTGGCGTTGCCGTCCAGAGTGCTTAAGGTCCCTAATACTCTGTTCCTAATGTTATCATTTCCTTTTCAAATGTTTTCATTGCAGATGGAATGGAGATCAATAATGACAAGTCTTTTGAGTATACCACTGTCAATCTTTCCAAAAATAGTTGATACAAGGTGAGTTCAACTTCAGGTTTATTGTACCGTTAATCCTCTTACACCAAAGTGCAAAATTGTTGTAGAAAAGTCGTAACAATTGCTAGAATTTATGGTTTTTCATGAGAAGTTGGTCTTCAGCAGTGAGCTATATCTTCGAGGGGTCAGGCCAAATGCTGCAGAGGCGGTGGCTTCTAAACTGCTAAAAATCTACAACAGTATTTGAGCCAAGTTCTAAAACTGCACAGTACAGTGAATTGCTCAGCTCACGCGCAAAACTGGTACGCTGTAGGTAACGCAAATATGTTCCTTTGAAGCTGTATTGTACGATCAAGGACAGACAACGCTAAAATCTAAACACTGACTCNTTGAGGCGGTTGGGTCATTGCGACCGAATGGGTGATTTGAGGCAATTCAGTGATTTAAGACGGATTGTACTTGGAATCGATTTATTTGAGGAAACTCAGATACTTTTACAGTCAGTTATCCAGTCAGTCAATCAACTAGTCGGTACACCGGTCAGTCAGTCAACAAGTCAGTTAACTTAACTTAAATAAAATCGATTCCAATTACAATCCGTCTTAAATCACTGAATTGCCCCAAATCACCCATTCGGTCGCAATGACCCAACCGCCTCAAATGACCCAGTCGATTGCAATAACCTAACTACCTCAATAACGGAATCCTCTCCTGTGACCCAACTAGCTTAACTGAACCACTGGTTCGAATGACTAAATTGCCGTTGAATGACTGACTGGCTAACTGGTTGACTGACAGAGTGACTTTCTGACTGACTTACTGACTGAGTGGCTCACTGACTGGTTAATTGACTGACTTTTTTGCTGATTGATTGGCTGATAAACTGTTCGACTGACTCACTGACCAGTCACTCAGCAAGTCGGTCAAACAGTAAGTCAACCAATCATTCGACCAGTTACCACACCAGTCAACCAGTAATTCAGTCCGTCAGTTAGCAGATCAATCAGTCAGTCAGTCGACCAGTCAGCAGGCCAGTCAGTCAGTCAGTCAATAAGTCAGTCGGTCAATCAAGGAGTCAGTCAGCCAGACAGTGAACCAGTCAGTCAGAAAAACAGCCAGTCAACCACTCAGTCAACATGTCAGTCAGCCAGTCAGTCAGCCAGTCAGTCAGCCAGTCAGTCAGCCAGTCAGTCAGCCAGCCATTTAGTTAGGAAGTCAGTTATTCAGTCAACCAGTTACTCAGTCTGTCCATCTATACGTTTGTCCGTACGTCCGTCCATACGTTCCCACAAAATCAGTCGGTCGGTCGGTCAGTCAGATAGTCAATCAGACGTTTAGTCAGTAAATCAACAGTCATTTAGTCAAGAAAACATTTCTTTATTTTATCAGTCAGTCAGTTACTATGATCTATATTCAGCCGACCATCCAATTCTTCACGCGACCGAATGCTGAGTTGTGTAGCATGTCAAGATCCGCTGTCTTATCCTACCTCACCTTGTTTCGATCTGCTTTCATCGCGTATTACACAAAAGGTATATTGTCTTGTCAGCTCAATATCATTTCTTGAACTAACGATTTTCTTTCTCTGCAGGCTTTTACGACGATGTCTCAAAGACAAGCGAAATGGCTTTTTCTGTGGAAAGTAAGCTCAATAATAAATGATTAAACCTTGTTGGTTCGTATGTTTTGTTTGTTTTGTTTTGTTTTTTTGCTTTGGGTTCGTCATGATGAAATGACAAATGAAAAACTTTGGTTGCTTTATTCAGTGCTTCCGTGTTGAATTGGTACACAGTGTATGCTTAAACAGTACAGTGAACCTTGATTGTTGAAATTCAAAGCATTTGAAGTTACAACGTTATGAGCCCTTATTCTGTTAATCTCTGCCAGTAACATTTCCGTGGAATATGACACCAGATCCTACAGCTTTTCACGAAGACATCGTTTATCCCTTTCGCCTCCTTACAATCCTGTTCAAAGCATTACGGAGTTGTAGAACTTGAGACGGCCACGAAACAAATCCAGTCGAGTGGCGGAGTGGACTGGCTTTCACTTCACCTGGAACCCTCCCTCCAGATTTTAAACCTCTTGTCTTAAACCATTCGGCCACTTCGTCCCAATAAAACTTCCGTGATCGCCGCGAACCAACCCAAATAATTCAGTTTTGCTCTCTTCTTCTCCTTTAGCCTCAGGTGGAGTTTACTTTGTTCCCGCTTTCAATGGATTACAAGTAAGTCATGATTAATGCGCTCGAGTCCGGATCGAGCCCTGGCCGGGGACATTTTGTAGTGTTTTTAGGCGAGACACTTTACTCTCACAGTGCCTCTCTTTACCCAGGTGTTTAAATGGGTACCTGCAAATTTAATGCTGGGGTATAACCCTGCGATGGACTGACATCCCATCCACGGGGGAGTAGAAATACTCCTAGTCGCTTTATGCCACGGAAACCGGAGTCTAGCGCCTGCGTGATGGACCACTTGGCTCGTAAACAATCTCTACCTTCAACCTGGTAGTGATGTAGTTTTCGCTTTTAAGTCGTGTGGGTGATTGATTAGGTTGCATGTGTTGCATTTTACCTGTTAAAAGAAATTTGTTTACTCTTCATGTTTACTTTTAGTTGTGTTTCCGCACCTTTCTTTCCACTTAGTTATTCCTTTTATCTCTGTAGGCTCCCATTAATGACAATAAAGCTTGCGTTTCGCTGATGGGAATAAAATCCACCACTAACAAAGCTCACATAACAAGAGCTATTTTGGAGTCAATAGCTTTCAGGTAAATGGTGACTTGCAGAGCTAGCTGTTTTGTGCGTTTAATAAATATGTACGCAACGGTGCTGCTTAATTTATTCTTCCCACACGTGCAAAAAACTGCCGGCTACGTTGGTTGAGTTAATCATGGCTTTGAATAATTAAAGTTTTTCGAAAGGAAAGGTGAAACTAGATACGCAGGGAGGAAGAAAGGGGCAATTACTGTTTGGAAAAAGTTTGTCGTCAAAAAGGACAAAAGTGCCCACGTCAATCTTGAAAGGTAATCTGGTTATCCGGTAATCAGTGAATTCTAATAAGTGAAATTAAAATAAATAGATGAATTCACTAAATCCGCAATGCCTCGTCCTTACGTTGACGTTTTCTTAGATTTCCCTGAAATCCTGAGGTTAAGCAACCACAATGCCTTTGGGGCTGTTGCGTGCACTTTAACGCTTTCTTCCCGACAACCTTAGCCACCGTAAAGGGTTTTCTAAAGCTGACATTTCGAGCGTTAGCTCTTCGTCAGAGCGAATTCTTTAATTATTCTTCTTTAATTTTATTCGCTCTGACAAAGGGCTTACGCTCGAAATGTCAGCTTTGGAAATTCTTTACGGTGGCCAATTTACTGTATCAACTCAGTTGTTAAATATATAAATGAATAAAGGCTGATAGTTTCTAAAGAAACTGTTTGGGGCTGCGTCGGTGTGGGTAACGAAATAAATATATACCCCGCTCCGACGCAGTACCACAGTTTCTTTAGAAATTTAACCCCTTGATAGTTCAATTGATATTTGGACTGGATCTTCAAATGATAGTTCCCACATACGCTTTTTTTTTTCTTTTTGTTATTAACGTCGTCAAACTGATTTACTCAGGTTTACTCGGCTGCACTATACTCAGTTGTTAAATGTATACCCCGCGCCGACGCAGTATCACAGTTTCTTTAGAAACTTAACCCCTTTATAGTTCAATTGATATGTGGACTGGATCTTTAAATGATAGTTCCCACATACGCTATTTTTTTTTCTTTTTTGTAAATAACGTCGTCAAACTGATTTACTCAGGTTTACTCAGCTGTACGAGACTGTGGTTGGAGAGACCCATATCCCATTAATGTCGTCAATCAAGTAAGTTTTCATTTTGATTTCAAATCTTAAGGCGCAAAATCTCAACCACCTTTCACAATGCATTGAGAACAATTCAAAGGACCGTCACCCAGTGATCACATAAAGGTAATTCGTTTAGAGGCGTGAGAAGCAGAATTAGCGTTTACCTTACGCACACAAAGAAATTGTATTGTCGTTTTCTGCTGTCATGGTAACGCGTTTTCAGATCTTTTAAATGCGTTTCTTGTTTGCGCGCGCGAAGGAGACCTTTTTTAAGTAATACACGAAATGCAGGTTATTGAAAACCGAAAGATGTCTTGTTAATTTTTAAGCTTTAATTAGTGCGTGAGAAACTTGAAAAATTTCCAGGTCTCTCACCCATCTCAATAAGTAAGATCAGACAGTTTGACAATCACGCACTCTAGTTACAGACATATACATTAAATATCGTCGAGGTTCAACGAAACAAACAACCTTGGAACCATTTAAGAATAAGTTTTCGGCAAAACGTAGGATAGAGCCTTGTTTGACTGAGTCTTGTGCAAGCAAAGCTGAAGTTGTTGCATTGGACAATCAGAAAAAGATGAACATGGCAACGAAATCCTTTAGAACTCAAAGAAAACACATACAGCAAGCTTTAGGCGCGGGAAAACGAGATTGACCAAGTTGGATCTGATTGGTCGAGACTGTTACGAGTTTTCTAAACCAATCACTAGGCAAGTTTATGTGGCTGGGACCACTACTTCGACGCTGCACAAGAGGAGGTTCCACTGCAATTTCTGGGTGCAGTTTTCGAAAAGAGTTAGCATTACACAGCTATAAAAAGAAATGTGTGAAGCCGACCGATTTTTCAACTATCCAAGTGTTAATGAAGTCCTCTGGCTTTTTATCTTTCCAGAGTTGACGGCGGAATTTCTAACAACGACTTTGTGTTGGAATTAATGAGCAGTTTAACTTGTCAGACGATAGATCGACCCTCTCAGACCGACATGTCCACTTTAGGTGCAGCCTTCTTGGCTGGTCTCTCAGCTGGTAAGTTTATTTATGTCCAGGGTGTCAAGATGTCACTGACAGTGCTGTTTTCATTAACCTCGTTCCCGGGGTCCTTTCCCTTCCGAGAAAGCGGGAGAACCCTGGGAACGAGGAAACTGTTTCAATGTCTAATTATAAAGTATAAATTTTGTGCGTGGCTTGCTTACTGGTTGATTTATTGAGCCATACATTTGCGTTTTTTTAATTACGCAGAGTTTCATTTTTTTTTATTATTATTATTATCAGAACTTCTTGCGAGTTGATCTCGCAAATTTATATAACAGCAAGTTTCCCAATTACGTCGATCAAAAAACAGCTTTAATTTGAGGTGAAAGCAATTCTATTTTGAATGCCAAAGGTAGTCCGGGATTTCATTACTTTCACTTTTTTGTGATTGGCCCAGAAAACGCGAGCATTTTACTCGACCGATCTGATGTTAACCGCAACCGGTTACAACCTGTTCACGTGCTTTTTCCCGCGCTCCTATCAATTTCCTCGTCTTTTTCCTTTGAATTTTCATTGGCTCGTTCAGTATCATACTTTACTTTATTCTGAATGGCTTCTTTCGTAACTTACGTTTTTCCTCTACGTCGCTCAATAGCGCTCTATTCTTCAGTTTTATTTTATTACTATACCAGGTGTTTGGAAGTCACGTGACGAGTTGAAAGCAATCCGTTGTTCCCAGGCCCTCTTTCAACCGAAGGCATCCATACGAGACAAATTCCTGAAGAATTATGACGAATGGAAAGAGGCCCTACATAGGAGTAAAAACTGGTACAAATGGGACTGAGTGCCTCTTTGTGCAACAGAGCGAGTCTTCTTGTTTTAGTTAGGCAATCGAACACATTTTTTCCGGGCTTTATAACGTGATAACGCCACTCAGGGATGTTGGGGGAACGCGAGGAGAGCTTATTGATCACTCGCCTTCGAATCGCTATTTATAAGCTTTCCACGTGTTTTGCCATTATCCTAAGTGGCCTGGACAAATGTGTCCTATTGCTTTTGTGACATACTAGTCGTCACCGATTAAATGCGGGCTCAATAACCTGATAAAGTATCCGCTTGGAAACCAAGCAGACGATGCGTCCTATTTTCATTTATGTTATAATTCATTTTAAATAGCTTTTAGAGTGAAAAATGTTAATATTTAACTGAATTAAGAACTGCTGAGTTACATAGTGGTAACTATAGTGTAACGCATTAAGTTTTATAAATGAGTTAACTCTTAACTCCCAAAAGTGATTGACATGTAAGTTCTCCCCATGATATCCATACTTTATCCTACAAACAGGTGATGAGAATTCTACAACTTATCAAGGTCAACCTCGTTCCCAGGGCCTTTTCCCTTAGCTGGCACCCCCAACTGAGGGAAAAGGCCCTGGGAATGAGGTTGTATGAAGGTAGAAGTTGGTTTCTTGATTTAGGACCTAATTCTCGTGACTAATTTACAAGGGAAATGTGTAGCAGCTAGAGGGGAGAATTAACGGTCAGATCTTGGGAGATAAAAAGTTAAGCCGTGTGTATGATAATGGCATCGGGAAGATTACATTTGTTGCTGCTGTCAGTGAGGCATATTTTGTAGAAACGATTATTAAATCCAGTTATCATGGAAATTTTCCATGCCCAACTGACAATATTTTATACTTGTATTTGTAAGTTTTTGAACTCACTAAGGTTTATTTATTTAATTCAATTAAGAATGCGTCATTTGATATAACTCCCTCGTGTACGTCATGGACTCACTCTGCAAACCGGAAACACTGCAAGGATTGGACTCCCCTAAAAAGAAATTGGGAAGGGATCAGGGTGTTTCAACAAAACTTAACGACGTTTTTGTAAAGTTCTTGGATTTTTTTAATTCTTTTGAACACTTTTTCATTTTTTATTATTATTTTTTTTTTCCATAGACTGGTTTTGTATTATTACATTTCGGAAAATTATTAGCTACGTAGTTGGCTTTACTAATGGATGTAATGTTTTGGACAACAGAATGATATTCTCAACTTTCTCGCTTACTTTTAGTATTATTTGTTTGTTTTTGCATTGTGCAGTAAATTACAAATTTGATCATGGAGAATTATACCGTAAATGAATTGCGTCTTTTTATTTAGTTTCTCTCCAATAGTTAATCATTATTTATTGTTTATAATTGTAATCAGATCAGAGCAATAAATTAGTATTGCCTAAATAGGAAGGTTTTACTACATTCCTCGAAATCAAGCGTCATTTCCTTCCCTAGTTCTCGTTGTTGGCGTTTCAACAAGTACGTTTCCTTTTGTGTTTCCTCGTGAGGCAACGAAAGCCGACGAGTAATCTCTTCTCGAATCGTCTCCAATCTCCCTGCGGGCGGACCAACGCGCATTCTTCTCGTAGGTTGTTGAGCAATCTATATCTTTAACCATTAGAGTCACGTAGCGATTTGTGTACCGTAACGATTTGTGTATCGTAACGTTTTGTGTATCGTAACGATTTGTGTATCGTGGTGTTTTTTTTTTTCTTTTTTTATGTCTGATTTTGAACAATTTTACATTTTGATGAAAATGGTAAAATTCTCTTAATATTTCGCCATTCTTTCGCCTCTTCGACTAATTTATTGACGGTTTAGCGTGACAGGGATGCCATAAATGACTGTTGCATTGCGGACCTTTAGGAGCAAGAGCCTATGTCTCTTGACATAAGCGATTCCAGCCGAGAAAAACAAGGGACAAATTAATTATTCCAAAAAAAAACTTCCTGTCTGGAACCTGTTTATATTGGTACAGTATTAAGACTGCCAATTGTGAATCATCATCGATGTTCACTTACCTTGCTGCTGAAATGTACGCATTATATTTTGTGTTCTTATTACCACTGAAAATGAATACGCGCAACTCTGGCCCTTTTGTCAACTGACAACTTTAACAAGGATCACAACAACTTGCGGTTTAATTCAAGAGGTTTTGCTTTAGATATAGAGGGAGTATTGGAATATTGTAAAGAGGAAGTCTAGCAAACTGTATTTATTTTCCTATTTTTTTTTTTCAACTAAGTTTCGAAAGGGAAGTTTTGCGGATATTTCAGTGTGATTTATGAGAACACTTCGTGAATGGCAATCCATCCGGGCTCGCGTACAGTCAAGCTGACTCATGGACAGAAAAATATCAAGGAAGTTATATGGACGTTAGCATGAGTCAATGTTTTCATATTACACAGATCATAATTTCAATTTTAAGAGTGGAAAACGATCGAACTTTGCTTTACTAATACGCAGTACGGTCCCCATTCCCCTTATTTCAGCAAAAGTAAGTACTGTAACACTGGGTACTTGCATTGAAGGCAGAATTGTGCCCTTCATCGAACAATCTCAGCGATAGCTTCCGCACATTCGAAACTCCATCTCAATTTTACAGTTTCTTTTACATCATTATGCATAATATCTTATTCCCAGAAATAAACATTACGAACTACATATTGAAGGTCATTTTCAGACATTGTGATAAAGCTAAGAGAGAGGATGTCGGAGGCTGAAGCAAAACGGAAGGAGGTTTCGCGATGATTATTCACAAAAGAATCTGTCATCTCCCACTCCAGGCAAATAAGATTGTTCCATTAAACTTATCAGTCTGTCAGTTAAGTCGAGAAAGTCAGGTTGTCTGCCATGCCGGGTGGTTAGAATGACCTTGACTTTGAGGAGGTCTAGATTGAGTCAGAGCCGCCGATTGTTGTCTCGCTTTACGTAGTATTAAAGCTATAAATCATGCGGATTTACAGAACCTGTCGATCAAAATCGCTACGTTGGCGAAGGGTTAAGTGTGGCTAGTACCAACAGGCGGACGACAATATTTAACTGTCTTTTTCAATGCGCTTTTTATTGCCCGTGAGCGGAACGAAGCTTATGGAAGGAAATGATGTAATTTGTAGGAACACGTACACCGCGAATCGGATATAAAATCTTTAGTCCATTTGTCACGTCAGTCATTCATTTCGTTTCAAGTAGTTAAAAAGCACGAAGTTTGCACAGAGTCTAAAATTGATACGTAAAGAAGAACAGAATCTCAGGTTGGTGTACTTTTAATTTTTGTTATTAATCCGCTTGAAACTCGAATTTCGCTAGACACTCATACAAGAAACGAACGTCATTTACTGTTACGTCAGTTATGTGAAGTGCATCATCATAGGTATGGTTTTCTAAAGCTGTACGCAATTGAAGGGTTTTCTACTGGCCGGCGGACCGTGTAAGTGCGGCGGCCCACAGGGGCAGTACAAAAATATTTATCACAGTACAAAAATATATATTCCAGTACAAAAATATTAATTTCAGTACAAAAATATTTATCCCTGTACAGAAATATTTATCTCAGTACAGAAATATTTATCTCAGTAAAGAAATATTTATTCCAGTACAAAAATATTTTTGTACTGGGATAACTAGTTTTGTACTAGGATCAATAGTTTTGTACTAGGATCAATAGTTTTGTACTGGGGAAAACTATTTTTGTACTGGGAATAATATTTTTGTACTGGGAAAAATATTTTTGCACTGAGAAAAATGTTTTTGTACTGGGAAAAATATTTTTGTACTGAGAAAAATATTTTTGTACTGGGAAAAATATTTTAGTACTGGGAAAAATATTTTTGTACTGGGAAAAATACTTTTGTACTGCCCCTGTAGGCCACCGTATGTAAGCGTAGACTACGAAACAAAAACAAAAAGTGAAAAAATATTGAGGTTAGCATGCCCAAAGTTCCGCGCGACGCACCAACAGCTCATAGTCAAGTGTAAGCGCGACAGCGAAACAGCGTTATTAAATGGCACCACAGAAGTCGGGAATTCTTGTTAACTGACACATGTCCTTACGTGTTTTAGTCAGGTACCTGTCTGCAGAGGCGGGTGAACTGCGCATGCGTGACTTGACTCATGTTATGACTTTGTGTGCAAATATCAAAAAAATAAAAAAATAAAAAAATTAGCGAGGGTTCCGAAAGCAAATCGACAGAAATTTCAGGGAAAACTGCCTGTCGCTTCTCAATCAAAGTGTTGACCTTCATATCATTAATTTCTTGTTTTTCCCTGCCCTGACAAGGACATTCCGAAAAGCTGAACAAGATCAAGATATTGCTTTAATTCTTGGGTCACTCGATGTTGAGACTGGAACTAATTTTGAAAATTGCCTTTCGGGGTAACACCATCTCAAAATCAGATTTACTAATATTAACTTTCAAATAAAAAGAAAGGAAAGTTTGTAAAGGAAACAAGGTTTGTCAAATTACATTAAACCTCAAAGTGTTGAATACAAATAAGACTTCGATCTACCACCGGAACTAACTTGTGATAAAAAAATATTTCTTGCTGTTATTTTTTGTTTTGTTTTTGTTTCTGTTGTTATAGTAGTAGTAGTAGTAGTAGTAGTAGTAGTAGTAGTAGTAGTAGTAGTAGTAGTAGTAGTAGTAGTAGTAATAGTGTGTTTAATGTCAACAGAAGAACATATTCTTTGAATCATTTAGGGAAATGTCATGCTGTTTTGAATATTGTTAAGATGCTTATCAGAAAATCATAACTATCACCTCAAAATCAGATTTATTTTTATATACCGCGACTGACTGGACATGTCACAATTTGAAATGGCGAAGTGACTGCTGTCAAAGTAAATTAAATATTCCCCCCAAGCGGAAACAAAAAAAAAAAAAAAAACTCACGGAATTTCCAAACTTCTCTTTGCAATTCATCCAGATTGCGTGTCCGACGGACGAAATTGATAGTTTTCATCGCTAAACTTAAGCACGCGGTGTTTCTGATCTCATGTAAACACGCACCGAACCCTATCAAAGCTATTTAAATTTACCTTTTAAACAATACCTCCTGCATAAATGCAAGAAAAAATAATTAAGAAGAATATTTTGTATACACGAAAGTCACGCGAGATTTCTCAAACACGCAATCGCTGCCAAGTGTATTTTATGATCAACGGTTTGAATTCGCGTTTTATTTGTTCAAAAAAATAGTGTGGAGACTTCACTGGGAGGTAGTGTAGGCTCGAACTGTCAGGGTTAAGGTCAAGAAGTAACCTTAGGGTTCAACGGACGCGAAGTTATTAATAAATACTAATTTTCATATTTGATTAAACCACGTGTATAAGTAGAACAAGTTTTGTGTAATAATATCAGTGACTTTGGCTTTCATTGAGGGATGTGCTAATCGTATTATTGCAAAGTGAATCATCACAACTTGAAATCACCTTGGAAATTCAAGTTGTACGCATGGGTGACATATTCTGCCAACGGACAAAAACGTTTTAACGAAGACTGTCACATTATATTACTACAAGTATGTTTTAGCGGGAAGGTAAGTTGCTGTAAGTCGACGATTTTTTTTGTGTTGTGTGAGGTCTCAACACAATTTTCCCTTCAAAGCAAGTTCCTGAATTTCTACGAATGGGTTCGTTAAGCCAGTGCACGCCATTAGAGCGAAATGCGAGAGAACGAAAGCTTTTTTCGTCATTCATGGACCAATACGCTGAAATCTCATTGATCCAATACAAACACAGACATATTAACATAACAGTAATTTCCTGCCGAGCATGCTAAATATGTCACACTCTATACAGACAAAACAAAGTTTTTACAGAAAAAATTAAAGAGTAACTTAGAAGTAAATTCCTGGCAAGTTTGTAGAGGCGTCCATTGACGCATGAAACGGGCGTTTCAATTGAAAAAAAAAATTGTACTTCCTACAGGAAGTGCAATAAGTTCGTAAATCGGCCACAAATCGGCACTTCCTTCACGCGAATGCGTGGTAAATGGAATCCCCCACGTGATCTTAACACTCCTTTGTGATTGGTCAACTATATCCGTATCTTTACGGCGTGCTCCACCGCTCCTACCCCTCCAGTGTAGACAAGTTTTCTTGCATTTCAATGATTTTGACAATGAAACCATCGTTTCTTTGATGCAGAAATTTACGGATTTAGACGCGAGAAGTGTGTGTTTGGTGGTTATGGTTGCATGCTTTGGCGAAAGGGACTGAAAAACTTATGGTTCGCGGGAACGTTACCGGAGGACAGTTCGACCATCTATTTGGCCTTTTGTTTTTGTTGGATGCTTGAATTTTAGTTCTGTCACTTGCGTGGGGTATTTGTAGGGCGAAACTGATAAAGTTGGCGAACTTGGCCAGTAATATGCTCAATGGTTTCCCAAGTGGATGTCTTGAGCGATCGAGAAAAGGAGATTTTGTCGAATTATGACAGGTTTGGACGTGAATGTGCCCATTCGTGTTCTTGAGTTTACGGTTGGGTGTTACTGATCAAACGCTCTTGTGTGTGTCCTTTCTTTAGCCGATTGTACGGATTTTTGCGAATTCAGGACCCAGTTGGAGATCCATCTTTGCCTGACCTGAACCACAAATCGTTATTGCTTAAGGTAAGACTGAAGTTTGAGGACTCTATGTTGTGGACTTTTTCTGCAAAGTTTATGATTTCTGTTGATGCACTCGACGGTTATCAGCTTTGCTGACAGTTTGCCGGGAGCATTAATTGTTTGGTAACCGAATAATTACGCGAACGACGTGGAGTAGAAGCATCCTTTATTTACAATAAACACTTTGCTAATGAGAATCCTTATAATGTGCCTTTAAATCCAGGGTGTAGCATTTCTCGAGAAAGAATTGCAACGAGAAGGGAAGTCAGTACATCCCTCCACATTCTGTAGACTGGGACACATTCACCTGTTGCTTGACGACTTTCCTAAAGGTACTGTAAAAATTGAACGGTACTACGCGAGAAATTGCGTAAGAGTTAAGAATATTCGCATATTTTATTACCTTCCTTAAAGTTGGTTGTTTCTGATTGAAAAGGTTCTAAATAAAAGTTAAAAAAAAAAGCAGTACTTTCCTTCCGTGAGTTCATCAGTCAGTGTACTTCAAAGGTTTTACTTCTAATACGTAGTTACAAATGGTAGTGATTTATTGTCAAATCTCTCGATTCGTCGCTCTCTCAGTGTATCTTATATTTCATTTTCAGCGCTTTCAGCTTACCAAAGGTTCTTTAACGTTCAACAGGTCGATTATTGGAAGGTAAAGTTGGCGTAATTTTATTATTTGCACTCATGCGAACTTCAGTGATAGTGTACACTTTATTGTATTGCGTTTTCACGAAGCTGTCTTTAAATCGCTGTGTATTCGGGCATTTAAAACGCAGTTTAGCCGAGAAAAGCTTTAAATATTACAGTTTTAAACGGAAATTGTAGCACTAGATCATTCTTGACGTGTTATATTTATCTTACGAAGAGTTCCTTTTGTTTTCATTCTACGACCTTGATATGGTCAATGAGTTCAAACTTCACTTGAACTCAGTTCGAACTGAAGTTGTAGTCGTGTTTTCAACGCAACTCATAAACCAGAAAGAGTGAAATAGTGTCTATCCAAAAAGAACGAAATATTTCAGTTAGTGTTAACATCAGGAAGTTGGTATCATTTTCAGTTTAGCTAAACGAAATATGTTTGAACCGCCAAATCCACGATTGCCAGACAAAAGACATTTGTTCATCAATTATTGAAGAAGGGAAATTCTGTTTTTGCCGATTTTAAACTCTTTAGTACTCTTTAGTAAAAGCGTAGGGGCCAAAGCGGAAACTATTTACCACTCATACGTCGCTCAGGGAAAATCCCATCATTAACATTGCCCATTTTCCAGATTAATGCATTTTGGATCTTGTTCTTGAAATTGAATTTAATAAATTTGCCTCTTATAAACTTGTCCTATGCATATATAAATGTAGCTACAGTTTTTAAGTGGCCGAGTTTAATTCAAAAATGAAAAAAGATAGTTGTGCTATTTATAAACTTCACTTTCAATCAATTTAGAATGCAGCAATGTTTATTGCGAATTGCTCTATTTAGTCAGCAAAAAATGCTTGATAAGGCGAATTAGGATACATGTGTGAGCATTCATTGCAGAAACTAGCCTTGTGTTGTTATCAGATGTTTACAAATGATTCTAAAGAACTTAAAGTTATTACTGGTACAGTGCCAGAATTACTTTAAAGATGTCTGATTAATTTATTTTTAGGAAATTTTATTTGAGTTGGTGTTTACATTGTAGGTGATTGAATGACACGTCACAAAGGTGTCAAAAAAGTAAAATGGTTTTAGATCACCCAAGACTATTTACATCATAATGTTTTGTCTATTACAGTTGAGAAAATATCTTTTACTGGTTGTTAGTATGGTGAATGAAACTTAGATTTTCTACTCAGCAGTTAAGCAAAAGGGATGCTATAGAGAGCTTTTATTTCAAACAAACAGCATATTCTAACATGACCTTTAAGGCAGTTCACATTTCATATACTTAGCTCTTAAACAAAGAACACAGAACTGAAATTAAAAGTGATAGCTTTATCCTTGCAGTTCAACTTCGTAATATGCCTTGGGGTCCACACCATTGGAGCTTATTCAAATTTTGAAGCTGTCACAATATTGTTACTCTCTGGGGGTGGGAGGGAGGTATTCCAACATGGTTACTCTCTTAGTAGTTGGTCAGGTCTCTATGAGAAATGAGAAAATGGTTAGGGTTAGCTATATTTGGAAAACAACATGTCTAAGCTGGAGTCTGATGGAAAGCTTTATGGTAGGAAAGTCTTAACTAAAAGTGGAATGCACCTTTCGAGGTGTAACTTTGTAGTCATGGAGAGCGTGTCTTGTTCATGTGAGCCAAAGGAAACCAATATTGTGTTCTGTGCAAAATTTGTTTTAAATCGGATTGTAGAAAAGATAAGGACTTGATAGCTGTGTGCATTATTTCAAGATAGTGTCATATGTAATTTGAATCAATCAAGGTCAAACCTTTGCCTGTGTGACAAAGTAAAGCTTTTCTTCAATTTTTTAAATTGCCGGTATCTTCTTTTGTTCAAATAATATATGAAAGCTTGGGAAAATACAGGCAAGAAAGATGGTTTTAGGTTATCTTTTATGCTAAATGTAATTGTGCTCACATAAGTATGTGTTAAACATAGCAGTAAGTTCTATCTTACACCACGTGGATGGATTGTTGATTGAAAAAAAAAATTGTGGTTGTGATCACTGGGGTGGATGAAGTAATGTACAAGGTTTTGAAATCTGATATAAGTTAAATTAGTTCATCTCTTAATTATGAAAAGATTTAAACAATTCTTTGAAGACACATTGTTTTAAATGACCAACTTACTATCGCTAGAAAGACAGTCATTTTTTGTCCCATGATTCTGGACTGTAAACCAGATATCACCTTCTTTAAATTGTTAGATATCATGGTTGGGTTTCCCTTGAGATAAGCATAAAAGTCGTAGAGATAGACTGAATTTTGATGCATTCATCATACTCGTGTTCCAGTTTCTGTAGGTTAAAACTTGAAGAGTGATAAAAAAAAAAATGGTAAGCACACAGAGAAGTTATAATTCTAGTGAAAGAATTTTGTCATTGACAAGAGCATCACAGAGGCTTTTTGGTAAAACAAATCTAGATAGAGAGCTTTGTTTCTCTGAAATTCCAACATGAAAATATGTACACTGTGTCTTATGACTTTTGCGTTGCTAAGTTGCACTTTTTTCAAGGTCCTGCATTGTTTTTTTTCCCTTTCTCTAATACACGGTGAAACTAGCCTTCATGTAAAGTTGCACTGATCATTTCCCTTTAGGTTAGTGGGAGAAAATCACATTGGTTAGATATGTGTAATTAGTTTTATTGGCTATTTTTTTGTCCTGAAACACAATTACTCCAAATTATACAATGGTGAAAATTATTGTTATCCTCCCGCAGTATTTAGAGGAGAGGAACTATGTTTTAGCCTAGTCCCTTAAATTGGTACTAACTTTCTAAAAGACACTTAAACCCACCTATAATTATGAGAAGATCTGATTTTCGACTGTACGTCATCCCATGAATTACATGTTGTACTCTTTGTCACCATCTAATGTGTATTTGACATTCCCTTAGCGGGAAAGTTTTATTCACCTTGGTCTTTATTACATGGTCATTGATATTATAGCAAGTATTCTTGCACTATGAAAAATTCACGAATGATACAGCAGATTGATGAGTAAATATTGGTGTTAAGATATGTTTACAGCAGAAGTACAGTGATGTTAACTCAAAGAAACTTCACATTGCCTACAAACTTGGTTCATGCTAGTGATTATAAGTGATCTGCACTATAATTTATGAAGATTCGTATGTGGACTACTTTGAACTTAACTGTGGTTATAAAGAAACACAAACTCTTAATTCCCTGCTGTGGAGTAATATCAATATTAGCCATAACATTGTGAAATTATTGTCATTGATAGAATTTTCATTTTTAAGTTGACACACTGAACAGGTATGCAAGTACACTGTAACACATTGGCAGAATTTTTGAACTCATCTTAATGAAGTGTGTTCTTTCCTTTATTCCATTTACAGGATGCAACATTTCTTTATGGCCTAGGGATTGTTTATTTTAATTTCTCAGCATATCCCTGGTAAGAGCAACCTCTTCATCCTATGCTTATCGGTTTAGTAAGGTGCAAACAGAAGTTTGGCAACCATGTTTTGACATTAAAATCATGTTATTGTCACAGGAAACTTGTTCTGTTTCCAGCGGCAACAGGCCTTTATTTTCAATGTTTTGGTGACACACAACTCTTTAGATGGTCACCATCAAATGGTTGGCTGTGAAAACCCCGTTAATTTGCAGTTTAAACTCAGTTACCAAATTTTTTTTGAATCTCGCTCAACTGATAATCATGGTATTAAAGGGTAATGGTTCAAATTCATTCTTGGTTTAACTTTTTTAACCAGTATTTAAGTTTGTTTTTTTTTTATGAAAATTAAACTGGTTTGAAGAATTTTGAATGAAAAAAAATTTGATCCACAAGGTACACCTGAACATACAGTATCTAGAGTCTCTTTGGGTTATTTGGTGTTACAAAGTTATGGTTGTCTTAGGTTTCCCAGCTTGTCCTGGTACCTTTCATCCCTAGTGCGTCAAGTGCCCTAAAGATTCTAGGTGTCCTAAGTGTGTCTCTGCCTAGACAGTGAGCTGTCCCTCCTTTTCAGTGAGGTCTGTTGCACAAGCCAAAGAGAAATACATGTAAAAAATTAACATCAGTGTGCTGCACTAATCAGACTAATTAGTCTGCAGTCCCTTCTTTTTATTCATGACACTCCCAGAGTTCCATGGTGCATACTTGGATTAATTTTTGTTTTCTGTTTTTCTTTTTGTTTTTCCCTTACTTGAGCAATGGACTTTGCTGAAAAGGAGGGACTGCTTGTAGTCTTGTCTCAGCTGTCCTTAGTATCCTAGGTGTCCAAGTTGTTTTAAATTGAGCTGTTCCAAGTATGATCCACAGGTTGATCTCGTGCATTCCTGTGTCCTAGGAATCTCAGGTTTATCACAGGTATCCCGGGTATCCCAAGTGCTCTAGGTTTCTCATTGTCTCTCTCATTCACTTTTTCATTTGTCTTCTCGAATTTGGTGTCATAAAAAATGATAATTATAGTAATGTTAATAAAATGCCTTAATATTGCTTAACATGCGGTATTTTTTGCAGATAAGGTTGGGCTTTGAAAAAATTAATACAAAAACTATCTTGAACCAGTTCAAAGTAGAATTTTGCCATTGTGTGTTTCTATTCAACAGGGCAGTAAAGATTTTTCAGCAAGTGTTGTACATAGATCCCAGCTTTAATTGTTCCAATGAAGTTCATCTCAGACTGGGGATCATACTCAAAGAACAAGGAAGCTGTGAAGCTAGTATTAAAGTAAGTTCATCTTACGATTGTTTGATAGCCTAAATTTCTTAAACACCAACAAAACAGAGTACATATTTGTATTTATTCTCTCATAGCAGGGGTAAAGATTGTAAAGTGTACTTATCCTTTAAGGAAGGTGTAGATTAATTTCAAACTTGAAGAAAATATTAGGATTTATTTTTCAAATCTATAGATCACAGTGCAACTCCTGTATGCACATTTGTGGAAGTTACCTTTCATATATTGCTGACTGTAGCTACTGATTAAATCTTACTATGTGTTCTGTTTTCAGCATTTTCAGATGGCATTAATGGATTCCAGTCCTTGTTCATTATCTAAAGTTGAAAGTAAGCTAGTAATACTTATACTATTACAATTGACTTAAATTATGTTAGCAGTCTAAGCATCATAGAACTAGCGCATTTGAAGGCACTCCTACTTTCCATAAAATTATTATGCAGTCTACAGAAGGCCCAGAGATTTTCAGATTGCAATGGCAAAGATTCAACAAGATTGAACAACATCTACAACATTAGATTGTGTGGACATGTAGCCGTGCAAACATCTTTCTAATTGTCAATATTATACTTTGGATACAATAATTTTGATATTAACAATAGCTGACCGTTTTCTTGTCCAGTCCGCTTTCACCTGGGACACCTTTTCGAGATGCAGAACAAGTGTGATTTAGCACAGGAAATGTACGAGACAATCATAGAGAGTCCTAACACACCTAATGCTGTCAGGGCTAATGCTTACAAACAATTAGGTAAGTGTTTAATACATTATATGTCTGTTACAATGTGATTTGCACTCGGTGAGACATTTGGCAAACGTTACCTTTAAAAATAAAGTGTCTCCCTGCTAAAAGCTTTAAAAAAGAATATAAACTCTTCCTACTTTGCAGGCAGACATCTTGAACAACTTTAACCTATCATAGAGCTCTATTTTACTATTTTAACTATTTAGTATATGTGCTATCTCCTTAAGTGTATTTAACTTTCACCCATCTGTAACTGCTCTGTGGTAGTGGCCAACTCAAAAGCTTGGCTCCTTTGGCTACTACACACTCCTTCCACTGCTTTGTGTAAATTAATGTATAGTTAGGACTCTCTTCTTTTATTTTTTTCTACTTTTTCTCTTTCTTGTTGTTGTATTTTTATTAGAATAAGTGTGAATAAAAGAATGAATGAATGAATGAATTTAAGATTGAATGGGAAATAGGGATTTGGGTAATGGTGAAGAGGCTTGACTAAAGCTACCAAGATTTGTAATTAAAATGAACCTGGTAAACCTTATAGCTCAACTTTAAAGAAGGTTAGTGTCTTGCCTCGTGGCACAGCATGAGAAGTGCCAATAATGGCTTACTATGTCTACTTTGAGTGACAAAAATACAGTGGTTGGCATGCTTCTCCTTAATAGGCGGTTGATAACCCTCCACTTAACATAAACAAAAATCTTTATACTTCATCTCCAGCAAGTTACTGAAAAGTCCCCCCTCCAGGGCTCGACACTAACTTTTCAACTTACTAGCTAAACTGACTAATGGCAATCAAAACCCACTTGCCAAAACTGAATTTCTACTAGTCTGTGGTTAGTGGGCTGCTGTTAGTGTCGAACCCTTAGTTTGTAGTCTTAGGCTGTTAATGTAGTTTTAAAATCCTAGTCATGTATATAAATAATTGAGAATTTTTTTGTAATTTATTTTTAAGAAACAGGGTCCCCATGGATACCAGCCTTGAGCTGAATGGGCTACCCTGTGTAAATAAAGTTTTACTAACTTAGTAGTTAGTAACACTTACTTACTTACTGACTTACTTACTGACTTACTTACTTACAGTTTACTTACTTACTTACTTACTTACTTACTTACTTACTAACCCTGCCCTTTCTACCCAAAATTAGTGATCTTTTTGTTAATACCAGGCAAAATGGGTGACCATTCCATTAATACTAGGCGAGATATATATAAAAATTTTCAAAAACATTCGAAACATAGAAGGGCATGTCAAGGCTCTAGCAACTTAATTCATTTGCAATTACAAATTTGTGTCATCATATAGTAAGAGGACTGCTTCTATTCTTTTCTGTTAAATAGGATGGATGTATTACAACAAAGAGCACCTGGGGGACAGAACATCCAGAATGGAAAAAGCTGTCCAGTTGTTACTGAAAGCTATTGAGACAGATCCAAACAGTGGTGCTGCATGGTATCTAATTGGCAGGTGGGATGTGTTTTGTTATAGTAGCAACTTGTCTAACCTTGTGGTGATTTTATGTCCCTGGTGCTTGATTTTTTCCCTTTCTTTACCACTGTATTACTTCTTTACTAATGGTGTTCTACAAGCTTGACTCTGAACAGTAGGTCCTCAGGGTTAGAGAAATTGAATCCATATTTAATGTTTTTGTTTTATAGGTGTTACGCCATGCAAGGAAAAGTTCATGATGCCTTCACTTCATACCGTCATGCCATTGATAAGTCAGAGGCAAATGCCGATACATGGTGCTCCATAGGGTAAGTTCTGTCTCACACCAGATTTTCTGAAATTGAAGCAGTTATTCTT